ACTGCTGGCGTCATGGAAACATGCTCTGAGATTTGACAAAGGCAACCAATTTTGTCGAAGAGCTCTTAATAAAAAGGACTAACAAACAATTTGTTCTATAGCATGAATGAAGTATAGACACTTCTGCCAACACTGAAGAAAAAAAAGATGTGACTCAAATAACAAACTGTTTTATCCATTTAAGCCATGGAGGGTAGTGTTGCTTGAAATGGTTTAAATTCTCAAAGTCATGCTTGACGGCTGAAGCGATATCTGTCCAACAAGAACACTTCCTTTTACATCTATGACATATAATCCTTCGTGACAGAAAACACAAATATGACACAGCAGTTCTAATCCTTACAATACTTTATAGGTCCATTCTCTGTGGTGTATGTGTTTTCACCTGTCTCCCAGTATACTGTGTGATTCCAAATGAGGCTTAGGTAATGTGTACAAACTCTAAGAGTGTTTGGTGTGGGGCACAATACATTGTAAGATATGAATTCTCTTGAGATGCCTTGGCCTTTAAAAATGCCAGCGTGAGCCTGCAACCCAGGTGTCCTTCCAGCCTAAATCCGGCCATTCATTTGAGCCGCCTGCCCCCACATCCTGCCATTTATACAGCCATCCATCCCAAAGTCAATCCATCCCTTCAGCCTGCCAACAGAACAAGCAACTTCCCTTGGTTAAACAGGCAAAGCCGAAACAAATGTCTTTCTTTAATTCTTAGATTGAACCAACTATTCAAGGTCTGCTGAATAAACCCACATGGGATCAAGTAATTATGTGATGACTAATCAGGGTTTGTAAACAATTGTAAATTATTTTGTACGTTTGACAGCCAATGTTCCCCAACACGTTTCTCAGATCAGTTACTGCCAGAGCTAACACCCAGTCAAACATCCGTACGGCAAAAAGTAGGACAGTCTATTAAATACTTCAAAGATTGAAAACACATGGATGTTCAGTTAACTTAGCTTTCAACGAGAATCTTATTATTGGCTTTCACTGAATGTCATTATGCTCTGAGTGATATGGTTAATGGAATAAAAAATTAGTGTGGCCTTCTTCAAGAAGACCTGCTTTATTTTAGTTTTTTCCCTGTGAAAACCTCATTCAGTTGATAACCTCCGAGTGCTAGCGCGATTCAAAGCGTTCTCCTGTGCTCTTTTCACTGCACTGACCAAGCTGTTAATCTGAAGTCAAAGTTGAAATAAAAACTTCAGATGTATCAACCAAGGCCATGTTAAAGGTGAATACAGGTTTTGAAAGCGGGCATGCTGTATAGTAGATGACACAGTGACTCAGGTCAGCCGCAGCTTGGGCGATGTCAGCTGATTTTTTTGAGCTGGAAAAGCTGCATGTCAGCCAAAGAAAGGGAGGTGCAACTGTGCAAGTGAGAGCTACTGCAGCAGAGAAAGACATAATGGTCAGAGGACACAGAGAACGGGGAGAAGAAACACATCTATCTGTGTCTCCCATAATGCATCACCTCTCTATCCCTCCCAGGGAGAATATAGGGACAGTGGTTGCTGAATGAGCTGCTTACACGAGAAGAACGGACCAGATTTTTCCCAAATGGACTGAAAGAGGGAATACATTATTCCTTTGCTAAATGGTTCTGGTCAGTGTTAAAACTAATCTAAGCTGAGGTAGAACTTTAAAGCAATGAACTGAACTAGACTGATTGAACTTCTTTAAAGTCACAGACTTTATGCACCTGAATTCTTTGATTTGGTTATTGTGAGACATCATGGCCCATCTTATTACCCAATGTTTTCATTGTTCAGTAGTGTTTCCAAGTTCAATTTAAAATCCTATCTAGCCCAGAAGATATATAGCCCACTTTCCATAATTGCAGGGAGAATAGTATTGTTCTTGGTAAAACATTTATACATGCAATCCTTTGGCAACCTCACAACAATCAGCTGATTCAGCAATGTAGGTTGAGTGAAGCCAGAATTGCCTTTACAGAAATAGTCTCAGACTATGTAAACATTCCTATTCACTTTCTAGCCTATGGATAGATGACAAAATCAATAACCCTATTACATACAAAGCTACAGCCATCAGCCAGTTATCTTATTATAGCACAGAGGGAGAAAGCTAGCCTGGTACTTTCTAGGATTCTCTGGCCCTGAGCAGTGACTTCCAAATGTCTCCAATGTTTGCCAGGTTACCTCATGGTATATTCCAGATGACAATAACCCCCAGTAGAAACAGAAATTGTGATTTTCACCATTTTGTGTTTGTGAGGAATAAACAACAAGATATGACATGTTTTATAGATGTTGGTAGGTGGAATTTTTACTCTGTTGAGTCATTACTTTTAAGTTTTTGTTTGAAATATGAATGAAGAACGAGTTAATGGAGGGCAAAGGCAGCAGTAACATGACAGGCACACACCCAGACAGGCATGGGGGATTAAGAGGACAGAGAAAGGAGGCTCACAGAACAGCTCTCCGGTATTGCTTAATGATTTCTTCTGTGTGTATGGAGTTTTTTTAAACTTTTAGAAACAACGGATAGCCAGTCTAACATTTCCAGTCGTAGGGCTGTGATGACGCAACACAGCCGACAGCAGACAGTAATCCCTTCCCAGAGAATATACACAGAGAGACGTGACCTCGCACATCCCCATGACTCCAAATCTAAGCACACAAAACATTGCATATGAGCATGACACTGGGGAATTTCAGGGACGAAAAAATTCCAAGAACTTCCAGCTAAACTATCAGTCCTCCATTCATCCTCTCTGCCATACTTCTGTCTCCATCTCCGGAATCTATCAGCAGTTGTCACCAAGTTGTTTAATCTTAGTTGTCATTCTTATTTCTCTTTTGTCTCTCCCACAGGATGGACAGGACATTTTGACTTTGAGGAGACCAGGGATGACACTCAGCGCAATGTGTGCATCCATGATAAGAAATAAAGGAAACAAAACAAGCTCCTCTATTTGTCTTCCCCTGACCAATAAGGAGGCTTATTTCTACGTGAGGACTGTCAACAAACAATGACGCCCTGTTTCCTGGGTTTGATCCAAATAGGGTGTTATGTGGTAGCAGATAACAGCTAGAATATGATCTTATGCATCCATTTTACTTTTTAAAGGTGACAATGACTATCGTTAATTTAATTTTAAGCAGATTTAACTGTTTTCTAAACCATAAACTAGAACCGTATATCAGGTATTAAAGTTTGGCCTGCATTGTGAAGGAAGAATTTTTTTTTCTGTAGCGATTCAACTGTAAGTGACAGGAAGTTGCATACATCCAGCAAGTGGAAAGAAAAAAATAAAGACAGAAAGATGAACCATGAATTAACTGAAGTTAATCCTTGCATTAACAGACATCAATAGGGTATTCAATGCTGTGTTTTGAATTGTGGTGGTGAGATAACACATTTTTTCAAGTGTGATCACAGATTGAGCCTTTAATTACACTGTGCTTGCTTCTCATGACATCCATCTGTTCACAAGATCAACGGACATGACAAGCAAGCTCTCACTACTCCCCTGGGCTTGAAATAAACACATGGTGAAGGCTCAAGGTTGATTTACTGAACGAAAAACGTATGTGTGAATGCAAACACACACCTGATGCACATACATGAGTCACACACACACATTGCAAAGGTATTTAAGGCGCCAAGCAAGAAGATCTGCATGCGCATTTCTATAATTACACCCGTATATTAGAAGGTGACGTTTCCTTTTTGACCACAGCTTTCTGCATGAGTCAGTGGTGGAACGCCTGTATCACAGCTTGGAGCACAAGTGGCAGCAAGAGGAAAAATTTACTTTAATTTGACAAGAGTTACCTCTGTATGTGCAATCATATTGTTAGCCTTTAACACAAAAGATTGATGCATTTCAGTGATCTCCTTAATTCTACAATACTTTTGAAAAGTCTTACAAAACATATTACATTGAGTTGGTGGACTGAATAGCAAGATATTGAAGTGACGGAAGCTGAAAAGATTAGCAAGAAAGTATTTTATCTTTTTCATCTCAAGCTTTGCTTGCTAAAAATAACTTATTTTTGAAATGCCCTAATTATTTGGTCAAGGAGCTGCTTGTTATATGTGATTCTTCTCTTGAGGTTAACCAATCTAATTGGGGTTTACATCATAGCCTCTGGATTGACTAGATGCCAGTGGTCACAGTGCTCTGCAACCAGACCATTGTTCCACCTGACTACTAGCCCTCAGCTAGAATAAAACCAGACAAGAACCCCCAACGGATCACAACAACATATGGGTGTTGTTAATTTAAAAGACAAGTGCTGTTGTCCTGTATGGCATACATGCAAGGACAAGAAAGCAATCACTTTCGCCCCCACCATTTCCATCTTTCTAATTTTAGACCAGAGTTTTGAGAAAGAATAAACACAAATGCTTAACACAGACAATGGCTCTTTCTTTGTAGCATCAATCAATGCTGCAGAAGTGCAACTGCCAGTATAAAACAACCCTAAATACATTGCGTTAGTCTAATCATGTGCAACCAATAGGGTACCATGAAATAATAATTTACAAGGGAGTTAATGGTGCTGATCAACGAGGTAGGTAGTAATAATAATGATAATCTGCAATTGTATTAGATCTGTCCACTTTAGAATATATTTGTTTTAGATAAAAGTATTTAATAGAGAGCTTGAAGCCCTGGCTGTTATTAGGTCTTTTAAATAAGCTTTAAAAAGGGATGATTTAAGTTATTTTCCGCGTAATCAAACTAAAAGTAGTGATTAGCCCAAGACGTCAATCTGGGGTTAGCGGGCAAGTTTTAAAAGGCACCACACAAACATGTTAGACGGAGTATTGTCAGAGAAAGAGAACGGCAGAACGTGAGGAACTGATACTCAAATTAGTACTTCAAGTTTATCTTGTAGCCTTTTAAATGAAATTCTCAGACATCCTGCCACATGTCTGGGACAGCAAACACAACGGTTTAGCTGTCTGAGTGTTCTGAAAAAAGCAGTCAGGTGAAAAATGACACAAACAAGTTCACATAGACTCACCTCCTCCACAGTGAGGGGCATGCATATCCTGTACTCCTTCAGCAACATCTTCCCCCTCCGCGCGTCTCTTGAATGTATTCACAATGTGTCAAACCAGCCCAGTAAACGTTCCCTCCGACGGGATGTGTGTAATATCTGGAGACGTGTCAGCGCATGTGGGGGGATGATTTGTCCGGGTTAAGAAATGCACCCCGAGTTACGTTTGAGTTCTTTCATCTGAACCAGCGGTCACTCTCTCCGTCAGGGAACGCGAGGGCAGAAATGAGCTCGGTCAGGATCGTCCCCTCCTATCATGCTGATAGTAAAGCAAAGAACAGCACCGGAACACATAGGATCCTGGCCTCCAAAATAAGGGTGTGCAATATATCCCTACGAGGAAATTAAAATACACTGGAGATATCCCTGTTGAATATTCTTTTGATTCTTATATAGTCTAAACATGTATTGCTGGTAACACTGAACACTCAATTAGGCTAGTTTCTATAGATTTAAACAACTGCGTCTACAATCATTAAACTGCATGCCTTGTTTTAGATTTACTTGATGTATTTTAATAATACTTTTATAACAATTTATTCAAACAAAATATGTTTAGCTAATTCTAGCATTATTTCAAGGCCCTCCTTAAAGTTGATAGGAAGCTAAAATGAAGATTGATGAGCTTTATCATGTGCACATGAAATGTCTTTCTTTACTTTGAAAATAAAGTTTAATATTATTATTAAATAATAAAATATTAATCCAGCAGTAGTAGCTATCTATCTATCTTTCTATCGATCTATATATATTTTTCTGTCCATCTATCCATCCATATATCTATCCACTCGCAGGGTCAAGTCATTCTTCAATACGAAAATTATTTTGAAAACGGATTGAACGGATGTGAGTTTGCCTTAGCTGCAAATTGGTCTATTCTGAAAACCGCCACAAATACGAAAAGCATGAAAGTACAACTTGCTGATAAACAAAATAATGTGCTTTTTCAGAGTGAAGTTCCGTGAGACCGTCACCATGGTACAGTAAAGAAGGTTTTGAGTTGGATAATCAACAGACATTCTCTCCCGTCTTCTTCCTCAGTTTCAGTCTGTCAGTCAGAAGAAGGGTAGCGTATTATCCAAGTCCTCTCCCTTGACCACAGGGTTTTACTTAGGGACCATCAATAAATTACTCTTAAAAACACACAAAATCAATGTTATTTTCAATACACCTGGAAATGTGGCTACAAAGTATGCTACCACATCCATGTCATGTGGCAAGTGATTCAAAACATAGGCCTATACCAAATAATATTATTAAGCACATTCAGTAAGACACAACTCTTGGAGTTTAGTATTTCTTCTGTCTTATTTGAATATTATTGGGAACATTTGAAAAAAAGTCTTGAATCTATTAACCCTCCTATTGTCTTCGTTCCCCCCCCTCCCCCCTCCCTAACTTTGGTGTTCATGGTCAAATTTGACAGGTCCTGTTTTAACTGCTTACAGTAACACAAAAGCCATTAATCATCACCACATTTCATTTAACACCCTTTCAAACTGTAAATATTGTATCAGACTACTGGTATACATGAACAACTGCAGTAAATATACAAAGAATAGACACTGAACATGTATTGCGTGTGTCAGGTGTGATCCATGTGGGCACATAAGAGCGGAAAATGTGTCAAAGTGTGTGTGTGTGTGTGTGTGTGTGTGTGTGTGTGTGTGTGTGTGTGTGTGTGTGTGTGTGTGTGTGTGTGTGTGTGTGTGTGTGTGTGTGTGTGTGTGTGTGTTGTGTGTGTGTGTGTGTGCGTGCGTGCGTGTGTATGGGTGTGTGTGTGTGTGTGTGTTTGTGTTGTGTTCAGGTGTGATTCACATGGGGGGATTGGGCACATAAGTGGGGGGGGAACACATCTAGAGTGTGGGTGGGTGGGTGTTTGTGTGTGTGTTTTATCTGATCCGGATGGTTACTAATTCCTTTTCTTTATGGCGGTCATTTTTGACCGGGAACACTATCACTGAAATAATCTTCCATTGCACATTTTTGTAATATCAATTCATAAATCAGTGATTAATAAAGGTGTGGCCCGAAATAAAAATACATTGTACTTTATTAGGCATAATTGTCAATAAAAAATGGTCATGTTATACAGAGTTATTATATGTTTTTTTGTCATTCAGTGGGTAATTTGTTGAAGGTCCCTCAGTGAAACACTGGTTAAAATAGTGTATGGGTTAAAAGCATAGAGGGTTAAAAGAGGAGTCTCTTAAGTGAGCTGCGTCCTCTACTGCAAATAAAAAAACTAAAGCTAACCCCTCCGCGATGAGACCGCCCCCCTTTTCAAAGTCACATTTCAAGGTTGTTGTTTTTAGAGTAGGTCAGAAAAAAACAAGTTCCAGGTAAAAGACGCTCTCCTGTTTTGATATACTTCTTGTAAAAGCAGCTTGCAGATGCATCGGAACATTTAAGCGGTTATCAGCGCCCCCAGCCCTTCCTCTTCTCGGCCTGCAGAAATGCGACGCGTTGGCTACTTGCGGGAAACAGGTCGATTGAACCACAGCTCAGGAAACATCAGTTCACTTCACTGCTGCTGCTGCACATTCACTCTGCATTTGTCTTGCCACCGTCACCTCTTTCATTTCATTTCACACACACGTAGCTAGGCCTGCATAGTTCTGGTTAGGACGCTATGAAAGCAAGAGGAACGCTTTTTTGACAGAAGCATGATATTCTGAATGTGACGTAGCGTGTCCTTCTATAGCCTAGGGAGGCCTACCTTAATTCCCCCACCGTTATAATACAACGAAATGAAGCATCCATCCCACACGTATGGAAACGAATTAGTGTTTAGACCTTAGCCCATGCTACAGATTAGACAGAAGGCAAAATAACACTGAAAAAACAGGCAAAGCAAAGTCCCCATGTCAGCTGATTTATAGCTTTAAGGCTTCATTCAGTCATTAAATGCAAATAATCTGCAATTACATTTTAGATGTGAGGTCTTTAGGTTTATAATTGATCATTTGACAATAGGGAGACAATATAAACAGCAGGGTGAAAATGCATGGTTGTTTTGGTGTGGGTGTATCAGTCATATGTTCCATTTCAAACAATTAAACCATGCAAAGTGGAATGGCCTGCAGATGCACCTGCACATGTCCTTTGCTGTAAGCTATTATTTAGCACTTTGAGACTTTACATTAAGGTGATAAATCAAATTGAGATGTATGCATTTCTTAAAGTATGTCCCTAACACCTTCTAGTCTCATGTCATGATAGAGTAATATGCCTTTCAGCAGTTTGGTGATGTCTATGGTTTGGGATTACTCATAGTAAACAAGGACGTCCTTCCCTGTCCAAGCATTTAAAAAGATCTGCTCGGTCGAATACATAAAGCACAGCTGAAAGACAAGTGAGATAAGCCTGTATCTTTGATGACAGCACTCTTATCAATACAACAGTTACACTTACTTATTTAAGTCATGCTCGTCTAGACAAATAGAGAGAAACGATCTAAACACATTAATAAACAGTCACTTTTAATCAGGGGAGGGGTTGCATTGCTGACACCTCTGATGTATTTGGGTCTACACTCATCAAAATCCACGCTCATATTTCTGTGTTTAAGATGCCAACAAGCACTATTTTGCGCTGTCAGCGCATATTCAGAGTTTCCCCCAGAAATATATTCATGCAGGGTTGCAAACTCTCTGAAGCAGATTTTAATTTTAACTCTCCACATAATCCCTAAACTAATGTGTGAGCAGCTTCCTGAAATAGGGTCACCAAAATGTTACTCCATAGACTCCATACCATGCCTTCACATGTAGATGTTAAGTTACAAAGTTATTGAAAGACAATATGAGACGATAAAGTTATCCATTAAATTAAAGGCTGTTGTTCTTCGTGTCTTTAACAAAGATACAACCGTTATGTATTTGACCGGAAACAGTTTAAAGGCCCTGTTTGGTTTAGTCCCCTTTACCTGACATTAGTCTTATAATACGTTTTTTTTTTTTTTTGTTCTCCATAATGGTCTAACATTGTTTAGCAGCAGGACATTTAAATGGGTTTTATGAATTAAATGATGAATGAAGTGAGTATTTCCTTTCTGGCAGTCAGTGTTTAATCCTTGTATTTTGTTCAAAAGCTGTTACCGTTCACGGTGTTCGCGGGTCAATTTTGACCCATGATTTATCTCAGTCCAAAACACTCAAAAATAATGACTATCATCCAATATTGTTTTAACTAACTAACTTATTATGCATTTATAACCGTACAATCCTGTTGTAATTTTATTTTATGGCCCCAAAAAACATTACACCACATATTTAAGTACTTGGCACTTGCACTGCACAACCTCTTATTGTCAGATGACAATGAGTATAACTGATAATAATTGCCATTTGAGGCTTCATTCAGTTTGTTTCAATCGTATATTATTTTCAGTAGATTCATGTCACATTCAGTTTAAGGTCTATAGATGCTGAGTCTGCACTGGAATCAAGCTGATTTGAACTCAGGTCTTAAGGGCTTTCTCTGCCACACGCAGGAAATTGACTGACCCACATTAGCTTCATTTATGGGGGCACTGGACTGGAGCCTTTCAAAGCATTGAACTGTGTGAAGACAGGAATGCACAATGCAGACATTGAAGGGACACCTTCTGGTGAACGGTGGCCATTGCACTCTGTTGCCATTAATACGACCGTGTCCAATCACAAAGTCCTCAATTCACCCTGATTATTCAAATAATGAGTAGGCATACAGATCAGTTGATACACCTTACACACATGTATTTATGTTGCTTTCGTCACTATCCTCTTTTGTGTTAATTCTCCTCCTACATTATCATCTTCAAGGAACGACAATGGTATTTCCTTGAAAGCACGAAAGGTGTTTCATTATTTAACATTTGCCAGTATAAATAGACTGACATTACAGCTAAACCTTGGATAAACCTCGTCTGACCGCGGTCTAGGCTCTTGTTACGCCTGTCTGAAATTTATTTTGGGGGGTCCTCACTGGGTCCTCTAGGCGCCACAGGCAGCCCACTGACTCTCTCCTCTGATTGGTCGCCTACCTTTTCGTTCCCTTGACAAGCAAAATAGTACTAGGTAGAGTTTGGACGCAAGAAAAGAAAAGAACCGTACATAATCTTAAAATGGACACCCCGAAGATTATCGAGGACCGATCCGAAAGATCCGATGGGAAGATTATGAAGATGGAGGTTGACTACAGCTCAACTGTAGATCAGCGTCTCCCCGAATGCGAGAAAATGGCGAAAGTAAGTGTGAAAGAGAACAGCGCCGGCTGAGTCATGGTGCATCAGTGTGTTAGCATTCAAGCTAGCATCGACTGTTTTTCTTTAGAACCACACTGAAACGTATTATAACCTATTTATTGAGCGAACATTGATTACAAAACGTTGATGTATGTTTGAACTTTAACACGTCCAAGTAACAATTTCTTTGTAACAGAGTTTGTAATTGTGCTTGCTAGCATGCTAACGTACCTCATAGACATCATCTTAAGCTAACTAGCTAGTCAGGCAAAAATGCCTATTCTATTTGTCTCTATCGAAATACATACAAAGTATGGGATAACATTCGTCCCAAGTACAACAAGTATGAACTGATGCTAACGTTTGTATTACGTGTTGCAGGAGGGCAAGCTGCAGGAGGCAATTGAGAGTTTGTTGTCACTGGAGAAGCAAACCAGAACGGTACGTGGTTCCTGACAGCAACATTACATTTCCTTTTAATTTCTCTGTGGATGGTATTGATTCACAAATTGACTTTCGGCTATTTCTCAGCTCATTATTAAGCAGAATGATTCACAAAATCTGCCTCATTTGTAGGTGAAAACATACAAAAGGAACTAATGTATGTCTTGTTTTGTGTGTATTTAAGTCCTTGTTCTTATATATCGGCTTTCAACTCCTGATCAGGCGTCAGACATGGTGTCCACCTCTAGAATCCTTGTGGCTGTGGTCCAGATGTGTCATGAAGCCAAGGACTGGGATGCCCTGAATGAAAACATCATGTTGCTCACAAAAAGGAGGAGTCAGCTGAAGGGGGTAAGATATTTATTTTTCCCTTAAGCCTCTTTTTATTTTACAAGTTGTCTAAACATAGTCTTATTAGTCCAAGAAAGTAAATGTTCTTGTGCCACAATCAAGTATTCTTTCCAGCAGCATTACTGACTATTCAAATGACCAAACAATAAATACTGTTTGTCGTCAATATATCGTTCACACCTTGTACATGCAGCATTATTCTCTTGTTTTCAAGCATTGGAGTCCGCTTTTTAAATAATTTCCCCTGAATGACAAATATGTTCTGGGAAAATACCCATAACCAGAAATTATACAAGTTACTGACTTCACAGGATTTCCAACAAACATGATTTACCTAATGCTTTGCAGCCATTGTTTTTCATGCTCTAATGACAACTCATTTTTGTATTCCTCTTTGTCTTATCAGGCTGTTGCCAAGATGGTGCAAGAATGTTACAAGTACGTGGATACGGTGACCGATCAGCCCATCAAGCTGAGACTTATCGACACACTTCGCACCGTGACTGCTGGCAAGGTCTGTAATGTATACTAGACAAAAATAGAGATATGTAGATGTGAGCCATTGTCACATTAAGTACAACATGTCACATGTGCTAGACGGCGAAGCTAGAAAGTCATAGTTCAAATATGACAGAAGAAAGATTTGTCTATCCAGTGTACTATGAATCCTTCTTCAGGGTAAAGACACAATTACATTTAAAAAGGGTTTACGCTATTTGATGGTCTAATTTGAATGGAAAATGTTTATTCTCTCAGGAGTGGATACAAATATATGGGTTACTTTGTGGTGATGACTAAATGACTAGAGACATAAACCCTTTTACCCTCAATAATACACCAAATATGTTCTCCTCACAGATCTACGTAGAGATTGAGCGTGCCAGGCTGACAAAGACCTTGGCAAATATCAAGGAGAAGAACGGAGAGGTCAAAGAGGCAGCTGCCATTCTTCAGGAGCTGCAGGTAAAAGACTGATTGCTTTTATTTTCTTTAAAATGATGAAAAATCTGTATCATCATTGTGGGATCAAATGGGGACACGTCTATGTTCAAGTGTTTGAAATCATTTGATTGTTGGGCATAGCTTTTGTCACCATATATAGAGAGACAATGCACACATGGTAATGGTGTGAAGTTTAAAAAAAATGGTTTTCCCAACTCAGGTCGAGACATATGGCTCTATGGAGAAAAAGGAGAAGGTGGAGTTTATCTTGGAACAGATGAGGCTTTGCATCGCTGTGAAGGATTACATTCGCACCCAGATCATCAGCAAGAAGATAAACACCAAATTCTTCCAAGAGGAGGGCAATGAGGTAAGAGAAAGGGACCAGGAATTGAGTGGCAAAATACTGCTGTAGTTTGGTTGAGTTGGCAGCCACTTATGATGAAAAACATTTGGTGGCAGGCCTGTGTGTTTGTTTTACAACACTCTTTTGGAAGCAGCTGTGATTGACGGGTCTGAGCTGAGAAGGTTGGCGTTTGTGAACTTTGGAATATCTATTTTTTTCTAATCAACAACTCAGGAGTCCAAGCTGAAGTATTACGACCTGATGATTCAAGTTGACCAGCACGAGGGCTCCTACCTGTCTATCTGCAAACATTACCGGGCCATCTATGATACCCCCTGCATCTTGGCGGACAGCAGCAAGTGGCAACAGGTACACAGACTTTCCTTTTGAGGCCACACTTTCATATATCAAAGTATTGAACATATACATTTAGCTATTTTCAATGACGATCTTGACATAGTTTGCAGTAATATCAATTAAACATATCTGTTTCAAAACTGTTTACTCACTTTGGATGCTGTTAAAACGGCAATGAATGCATTTTTTTCAGGCCCTAAAGAGTGTGGTGCTCTATGTGATTCTTGCTCCTTACGACAACGAGCAGTCAGACCTTGTGCACAGAATCAGTGAGGACAAGAAATTGGAAGAAATCCCTAAATACAAGTAAGACATAATATATTATTCACCATTCCACAGACCCAAAGAGATTTTGGGCAAAATCGAGTACATGCCATTTGGCACTTTTTTTAATCAAGAGTATTTTTGCTACGATGAATGGGTTGAGGTGGACCCCAGGAGGAAGACAAACATCTTTCAAAAGGGAAGGCTATCTGAATCAGCAATCGACTGTACAACACGTACATAATGTGACCATATTACATTTAACGCGTATTTCAATTACTTTGACTGTCTTTGCAATTGTGACATGATTTGAAATATCAGTACATTTATAATTTCTGAAACATTATTCACATTATCGTTGAAGATTATATATTAGAACCGGGTTTTATTTAAAAGGTTCTGCACCAAACAAGGATATTTTAATTAGTCTGTAAAATATCGTTTGTAATCCTGAACTTCACTTCAGCTCCACAATATTCTTTTCAAATTTATATTTTCACACATTTAGCCTTCTCCTAATATTACAGCAATGTGGGTATTGCACTAGTCCATATTGCGATTTCAATACATTTCGATCATTGTGCAGTCCTACACAGCACATGTAGAGAGACAACCGTTGCCTAACTGTTCAGTTAATGTGTTTGGGTTTTACAAAACGTATTAGATGTTTAAGTGCAGTTGTTATAGGGCCATCATGTGCATACACTCTACAGCTGGTGGTAAAATCACGGGGAATGTTCAATATTTTCCTCTTCTATTCACAGGGACCTTCTGAAACAGTTCACCACGATGGAGCTGATGCGCTGGGCTGCCCTGGTGGAGGATTATGGGAAGGAGCTGAGAGAGGGCTCACCTGACAGCCCCGCCACAGACGTCTTCTCTACTTCAGAAGAGGGGGAGAAACGGTGGAAAGATCTGAAGAACAGAGTTGTGGAGCATGTAAGTCCCCCAGTCAAGTGTAGACCTTTCTAATGGAACTGATGCATACATCTTTAGGTGGGTTTGATGATAATGTGTTTGTGCTTGGAGACCAGTCTATGTTGGAGACATCTAATTCAATATATTTTCTAAGAGCTCCTTTACTGCCTTGATGTCAAAAACTACGCTGGCAGCCAGGAACATTCAAAGTAAAATTGGTCATATAGAAGCATCTTATCGTGACAAATATTGGCAATGAAAGCTGCAATAGACGTTATAAAACTGTCACTTTGAGTTTGACTCGGATAAATGGGATAGGATGAGAGTGAGTGATGAGCATTTATAGTGAAAAGTGGGAATATGAATGTCCTCTTAAACACTGACAGTCAAAGTAGAACTGTGTGATTAAAACCTCCAAAGATTAAAGATATTGATATTAAATGACATTTTTCTTTTTCTTTTTCTTTTTATACGTCCTACATATAATGGGGTTTGGGGGTTTTCAAACTGAAAAATTTGATTGATTATTTAAGTGGTTGTGAATCAAATGATATGTAGTAAAATTAATAGAGAATCGTTGAAGTGCAATGCAAGCAAATGGGGAAAGTAATGGGTGTCATATAAAAGCTTAACTGGTAGACTTTTATGTACACTAATAAAGCATACCTGTATTTGATTGGCAATGGATGTTTTTATTCATTAACATATTTTTTAGCTTGTTGATGTGACCTAAAAGGACCTTTTTTTAAAACAAATATCATTATACAACTATAATATGATATTCTGCTGCATAAATGTTTATTAATGTCATTCTCCTTTTTACCACAGAATATCAGAATAATGGCCAAATATTACACCAGAATCACAATGAAGAGGATGGCTGGACTCCTCGACCTCTCTATTGACGTAAGCAACAGTTAGACTAATGAGACATTTAATTCAAAAGGACTTGCAGTTTTTAGGTTTCTTTTGGGTGAAAATTAACTGTATATATTTTTTTCTTGCCAAAGAAACATTTTGAAAGAGTATTTATTATTCCCTTGTGGAAAATTTCACTAACTGCAATTTATTCAAGCCAAAGATAAAAATAGGCAAAAAACTTTAACATCACTTCAAAGTGGGACACAATTGAATCTATACACACGTGTATAGAGGGACATAGTTCAAGTATTTCAAAATGAAGTACCCTGTATAGTTGTAGTGCAGTTATGGATCAGATAATCCAAAGATTAAAAAAACACAAGTCCAGAGGCCTGTACGACGAAGCCGGATTTTCGCTTGGTGGGCTAACTTCAGGGAAAACTCGGGGTTTCCGGTGCTTCGACGCTGGTTCTTTTTTTTAGCAGGCTAGATTTCCATGGTAACTTATGCTGAGCGGCTAACCTGGCTCCGGAGCAGGTTAGGTTCCAGGATAGGAGATCAACTCAGTGAAAGCACCGCCTGCTGACCAATCAGAGCTCAGTTTGCAGAGTTTAAAGCTATCAAGTTATATAACAGGATAGAGGAAATACAGAAAAACTGCCGTTGCAGGAAAGACGGCCGTCAAAAATCAACTGACTGAATGTGAAAATGAATAGAATATCACCTCCCATCTTCAGAGCAATCTGACTATTATATCATTAGCGTAAAGAAAGCTTACTTAAATATCTGCCACAACATAAGTAACCGGATCAAAGTAACATTAAGTACAGTCCACGGCACTGTGAGTGCAGACGTCGATGTGTCCCATTATCATTCATATCACATCATAATGTATCATGTATTTCCTTATCTGAGTCAGCTGAGCCGTATCTGGCCGTGCAACACTCAGTGTCACATACTGTACTGTATGCAGAAGTATTATTTTAAGCAACACATTAAGTTGACGAAACACTCCAGTCAAATGTAATTAAAGTCAGATCGTGTCTTAGACAGGGCAGTGATATCATAAACCTGTTAATGTACGCATTCAAACACTTTTTCTTTTACCAGCTGTATTCACCTTGCAGGTGCAGCTATGTGGCTTTGATCCTGGTTAAAGTGTATAACTCATGGATGTTTAAAGTTTAACGTCTTCATATTTGTCTAATATTATAGTTCACTTTTCATTCAGGAAGTATGACGCTGCGCTTTCAGTGCGCTTCTCCATGTTTGTGATTGGTCAACTGGCGCTAACCCCGCCCCTTTTGTGAACGTGCACCTAACTAGATAGGACACGGCTGGCTCGAGTCCACTGGATAACCCGCGTCGTAGGACCGCTCAGCGAGAGCATGTATGTTTTGGATTAGACCAACCGGCTAACTCAAACATATCCAGGTTACGTTGAACCGGCTTCGTCGTACAGGCCTCAGGTTGAGAATGTTTGCATTGTGAAAAGACTAAGAGGATGTCTGTCTGCTCTCATATTTCATCAGGAATCCGAAGAGTTCCTCTCCAGCCTAGTTGTAAACAAGACCATCTATGCCAAGGTGGACCGGCTGGCAGGCATCATCAACTTCCAGAGGCCCAAAGACCCCAACGACCTGCTCAACGACTGGTCGCACAAACTCAACTCTCTCATGTCCCTTGTCAACAAGACCACGCATCTTATTGCCAAGGAGGAGATGATCCACAACCTGCAGTGAAACAACAACGTAGTGCATTATTCTATGTTTTGGTTCATATTTGTTTCTGTTTCTTTTCCTTCTGTGGGAATGTTTTTTGAATATACAGTATATTGGGGGACAGTAATCGCAGCGCTTTTACAATGTCATATAATTGGATAAACATCTGTAGCACATGCGCAGCACCCCGACTTTGTTCATTTTTTTTACTATCAAGTAAAACATTGACAATAAATACATGAGCACCTCCCTGGCAGTGTCTGGATCTCTAAATATAGTTGCCTTTATAAACAGTAGATTACAATGTATTACTGTGTGATATAACTATAACTATAATCTCTAAAAATGTAAACAATAAACTCCTCACATTTGGTTAACAGTTGTATGAAGGTTTTATACAGTATTTAACCAAACTAGTGTACATTATAATATGACAAGGTTCTCATCACTGCAAGACATCACCTATGTGTGGGCTGTGTTAAGGTTTGTCAAAGTACAACGCAAATGCAGTATTATTGGTAAACTTTTGACAATATGCTGTTTTATCCCTTAGTTTACATGCTATGAAGTCATATAAAACAAGAGACCTGGACAAGAGGGGTAAAGAAATGTCCCTTTTAGTTTTATTCAAGACACCTGGCATGGTGAATCAAGATTGATGAAGTTCAGTCAAGATTTTTGTCGGTTCTTATCGGGAGAAAAAAAAGATTTCTACTTCTATGCGACCACTGCATTTTACCAATGTGAAGTGTCCCGTTATGTAAGTGAAGTACTTGTCAAACTTGGCAAAGTAAACTATTATGTCTTTTTGAAAAAATCTTTTTCAGTTAAGTCGAATGTCCTCTATTTGATAACTGGACAACAGTCAAAATACTTTACTGGTGAAATAATCCAACCTATGAATCTTTTGCCCCTTATTCTGATGTTGTACTCTTTCTTTTTTCTCCATCAACTTAGAAATGCCCCTGCTGTCTACATCAAGTTTAAACAAAGGTGGAGCACCAATAAATGAGTTCAAAGCTAAGCTATTCTAAACTTGTTTATTATCTTATAATTTTGGTTTAATGGATCGTAGCTCAGCCATGCCAGTAACTTGGTTATAAAGGAGCGCCCAGTGTAATTTCTTTTATTACAGTGTCTATAACTGGTCTTAAGTCTAGATGCTCATCAAAATGAGAGCCACTGTTCATTCATTCAAGCCTTTATTTACCCAGGTGTATCCCTTGAGATCATTGATCTCTTTTTCAAGGGAGACCTGCTCAAGTAGGTTCCACATGAAACATAAAAACATAAAACAACAGAACAACAAAAAGGACATCATACAGCATCATTACAGGGATTACAATTTACATAACTATCCACATGAACAGGTACCAACAGCATCCGATTGTACAACATCCAACCGAGCTTTAAAAACATTTAGTGGCACCAGATTGCTCAGCTTCCATTTAATTTGCAGACTATTCCAAGACAGAGGAGCTGCGCATCTAAAAGCTATCTTCCCTAAGACAGTCCTAGCAGTTGGCACATTTAATAAAACTACAGCATGCGATCTCAGGCAGTAGCCACTTACAATTCGCCGTGAGATCAGGGAGCAGATGTAGGATGGAAATTTCCCTAACATGGCTTTGTATATGAAAATGTAGCCTACCAGTGACTGAGCCTCCGTACAGTTAGCGAAGGCAAACCTGCCCTTGGATACAGGGTACAATGATGGGTTAATGCTTTACAGTTTGTCACAAATCTCAGTGCACTGTGATAGGCAGCGTCTAACTTGATCAGGTAATTGGCCGGTGCATTCATATAAAACAAATCACCATAGTCCAGCACAGGTAAAAAGGTCACAGTGACTAGCCTTTTCCTGGCCTCAAGTGAGAAACAGGACTTGTTCCTGTAAAAGAAACCTAGCCTAACCCTCAGTTTTTTAAGCAGGTTATTGACATGAAGTTTAAAAGAGAGACAATCATCAAGCCAGATACCAAGGTATTTGTAACAGGTAACCACTTCAAGTTTTATTCCTTGCGTAGTTACAATATCTAAAACAGGCTCTGGTGTCTGTTTAGCTTTTGAAAAGAGCATTACTGCAGAGCACACTGTCGCTCTTCGCTTTCTCGATGGACCTTTTATGCAAAACATTTCAAATTTGATATATAATTTGCTTTTCACAGCTGTGATTGCACACCTTTGTAAGGAACAAAAAACGCTAAACAATAATAACAACTTTGTTTTGGCACTTAATGAGTGTTACAACAGATACAATGCACCTATTGACCAAGAACAATATGTAGTATGACAACTCTTTCCCAATTCTGTTACAATTTATTTTCTGGCTTTATAAACTTTTTGGGAAATTATTAACTGAGCGTGCAGCCTACACCTTAAGTGTTTTTGGACACTTCTATACACATGCCTTACAGGCTAGGATTATGCTTAATCAATTATCATTGTTTCATTGACAATAAGATGTAGCCTACTTGCAGCATTTGTTCCAGGATTAATGTTCTCTTCTTTTGCTCTTACTATTAAGTTAGATATTATTAGGATATTTAGTTATTTTAAATTGCATGGAGCTATATCTACAGTGTCAGCCTGATCATCTTTGGATGGATAAAAACAGCAGTCAATAGTAATATCCTGTTTAGTTGTTGTGCATGTTTTGAATCAGAAACAAAACCAATGTTTGGCCCCATAGGTATTTGCAACATTTCACACACATTCGGGCCTTTTAAAGCAATAAACCGGTCATCAGGTACAAATGAAGTGGTATTTTATGACCCCAGCTATAATGGATATGGAGAATTCTACAATGTAGGCCTAATATTTAAATTCTATATATTTCATAAAGGTATTGGATTGGAATAGGTGTATATAAACCATGACACAAAGTATATATATTTTAAATGAATACAACGAAAAACATTTTAGACAAAAGTATTTTGGAAGGAATATCCCTGCCACCAGAGGCCACACACACACATACACACACGCCAGTCCTCTCAACCTTCAGATCAGTACATCCCACTATGCTTTGCGATGGTCTGACAAGTGGATCCAAGATGGCGTAGAAAGTAAAGCTAGGTAAGTGTTGACTTCCCATTTTCAGCCCTTTCAGTTGTCTTTTTCATCGCAAAGCCTCTGTCACGAATCCCCTCCACAAATCATTATGATAATGAAGAACGCTTTGAGTTCATGCAAGGATAAGAACACGATGTCACATCAATGATATGCGCCTAAACACCGTGGCAAAATTACAGGCCCGAACCCGTTTTGTTTCGGCCAAGCTAGCTAGCTAGCTAGCTAACACCAGCTAGCTTGCTAACATTAACAAACCAGCCAGCTATTCTTGTTGTGAGCTTGCCAGTTCGGTGCCAAGAAAGGTCGTGTTTTGGCTAGCAAGCTAACTGTTAGCAACGCATACTCTGGTTTGTGGCAATGCTGTTTACCCTGTGCAAACGCGAACGGCAAGTTAACCAACATTTCAGGGGACATTTTTTTCAGGGCTTTGTAACGCTGCCGTCATCGGTCTCACTTGCAACAGTCATGACAAGTTCAGTAGACAAACACCAGCTACAAATCTACCTATTGAAACGAGTCATTTCCAACGTGTGTGTTCATTAACGTATGCTCTATTGATATCTACTAAATGGACTTTGAGAAATGTGCAAGACTTACAGCCGTGTTTTCTACACGTTGCTGCAAACGATACTCTCGAGCCAAATAACGTTATGTCCGGATAAAAACAATCCCTTTTGGTTTTACAACTATCTTCATCAATAAACGTAGCTTTATATTTCACTTCACTGCAGTCGAAGCTGTAGGTTTTGTAGTAGGATGTCCAAGCTGGACATTAAAAACAAAGCAGGTGTCGACCCACTCTATCCCGCCAAACTATTTGTTGTTGCCCCTACGAAGTTGCTGGCTTTGCGAGCACCAACATTACATACATCTATTTTTACTGTTACAAATAGAAGTGTAAAATGTTGCATATGTTTTTAAATAACCTCTCTTAATTAGAGAAGTTACTGCGTTAAGATCAGTACTATGTTTGGTTTCATCTTTGACCCTATTTTCCATTTCCCCAGCAACTGACTGTCTGCTAGCTCAGGTGATTTATATGTTGTTCCTCTGTTGTAAAATAGTAATATTATAGTATGTCTTGGTTGCCACTCTGGCAATAATGTCAAGACATGATTGCCCTTTCATGTGGTGCATATGTTTCAGCAATGGTATTACTATTTAACATGTAGAATGTAAACACGCTTCCCATAATACATCTCTCTTGTGGGAGCAGGGGCCCGACCAGTGTTTCTTGTTTAAGATTCTCCAGAGAAGCTATGTGTGTTTTTGCAGTATGGGTGCTGCAACACTATTTTTTGTAATTGGCCAGTGGCTTTGTAATGCCATACAACCTATGCATAACATATCAACATATAGCACCATATAACATAGCTTAGTTTGCACAAACTCGAGTAGTGTCTTTCTGAAGAGATGGAGATTTGTGTGCTGTAACATTGTATTTGAGGAAAAAATAATATTGCATGTGGTGCAATCTTTTGTTTTTGTACCTATTGTTAGCCTAAGTGGTAATTTTTTGTAAAACAAAATGCAGCTGATGCATTTTACATTTGCTAAAGAATGTATCTGTATGTTATGGTCCTAAGGGACGCAAACAGGCTGATTCAAAGTCAGCTGCTACAAGCATAGTTGCCTGTTGCTCAGTAATCAAAACCTAACTATATGAAACACTTACTGCTATTTATTGCAAAATTACGCTTTAGTGGCAGAAGTACTCAGTGTTTGCCTTTTTTTTGCATTTGGTTTGGCATATACAATTCCCACAATGGGCCATCTGGTTGTTGATGTTTTCTGCTTTAACATACAGTAGCTGTCTGCTGCCTATTAAAGAACTAGCTGTCACAAATATACCCAAAATTACTGAGCCACAAATACACATTAAAATCAGTTTCTTTTGAGCGAGTCACAATTAAAAGCTGATTTTAACACGGTGGTGAGGGACAGGATGGAGATTCAGCATCAGCTAACTGTTCTGGAATTTTAATTTGAACCCAAAGTTGGTTTTGCAAGCTAGTTTAGCAAATAATCACAAAAATAAAGCTTTTGTGGCCACATTTCATGAGTCAATGTTTTATTTCTCCCAGCCTGAGCTGGTAAACTGAAATGCCAATGGTGAAATCAGTAGGGTGCAAATGAAACCAAAAGTTACTAAGCCATTGGCCAAGGTTGAGCATTTGATGCCCTGATGTTCCCCAGCAGGTCATTCTGTACCATCCTTATCCAGATCTGTGCTGGTCGGTGTGACAAGGGCATGCTGCCTCTTGTAATCTCAGTGAGAGGTTTACATTATCATGCTGTGGCCCTGGCCTGCGGCTTTTATGTTGACTGTTTCGGCATTGAAGAAATGTTGCTGGTGCCATCGAGACTCATGATGGGCATTCTAAAGTAAATTGCAATAATAGCTTTATCTTGCAATAACTACAAAGACAACGCGCACTTTAATTACGGTGTATGTTTATTTGTTAAATAATCAGTAACAGGTACTCCTGTAACAAAATGAAGATCACAGAAGATGCAGTCCGGAGGATGCGGCTGATCCAACATGGCTGTTCTTTGCACTGCATACATTGATTATCAACAATTGTTGTCTTTGAGTATCTGCTAAACTGAGAATATGTGTCTAATATCTTTAGCTAATCTTTTACATATCCTGTCTTTGCTCTTTTTTGTTTGTTTTGACAGTAATTGACTTGAAATGCCTTACATGACCAAGTGAGGGTACCCACGCTTCGAATGCATAAAACTTGGTTGGCATTTTAAGAAGAAAGCGATAAACAAATCCTCCCACTCATGAAGGTAATATTCACACTCTGGTGAGGATCCACAAGTTAAATACGAATTGAAGCCAGTCTAATTAATAAGTTGAGATTCAATGTATTTACCTGTTTGCATTATGTTCCTAAATATGCTAGTCTCTCCGGTGCATGTGAGCATGATGAATTCTCTACACCAGACATCTTCAACGTTTATCAGGCATGTATAAAAACTGTTTAAAAATGTATGAAATTTGGTTGCATATTAAACTGCGCCTACAATAACTTGTAGGGCGTCCTAAAGTATAGACATGCATTTTTATGATGCTAATAAACCTGAGTTAATTATTATTTCGCATTGGTTATTTAGCTCCTATGATTTTAAGTTTGCATACAAATAGACTGTTTTGTTTTTGCTAATAATGTTTAGTTCATGATGCCGTTGTGTCTATTTTAAGACATGTTTAAAAAAAAAAAAATTAAAACAACAATAATCAAACAGTAACTTTGAGGACCCTAGGGTTAGAGGCTGCCTAGAGTACATGCTCTGAATTACAGTCCACAATAGAGATTCAGTATATTGGCATGCATTCCCATATTATTATTCCCATATATTCTGTTTTAACCATTTGCCCCTGTGGCTATGAAGTGTCACAATGCACCCATTTCCTTCTGCATACTGTCCAGCACATCCTACTAGTCTTAAAAAAGGCTTCACATCATACATGATACATTATTATAATGCACTAAGTCTACGCAGTCAGATGATACCAAACCGTTGACTCCACTGTGGTTGGCTTTGGTGATGGAGATGATAACAAAAAAATGTCCCAGAAAATGCTTTAGGCTTCTCATGCTTCTCACTGCTTTCCCATTTGGTTACAGATGTATTTGAACGTACACAGTGTTAGCAAAGGGTTTGAATATATGGAATGTAAGAGCCTCATCCTCTCTTCCTGTTGATTTATGAAACAGATGAACCACATGAGGATATGACTCTTGGTGAGCTGACTTCCACATTGCATGCTATCACCCTCAAAACACAATTTTCGTCAGAGTAGAAAAAAGTACTATTTCTCAGAGCGCAAAAAGATTTCTTCAAATAACTTGTTTTATACAACCACCAGTTTAAAACCCATATACATTTGCATTACAATGATAAAAGAAAGATGTATACTTTCCTGGAATAATGAAATATTTTTATCCCAAAACATAGCGTTTGGTTTTAGATGTGTTGTGTGTCTTTCATTTAATGTCCTGGAGATTATAATAAAGTAACGTGTGACATTTCAATATCAGTTATATTTATGAGATTATAATGTAATGATATCAAGATTATAAGTGTACTTTACTGACTTGCATTGCATGTGGATTTCAAAGATGATTCTCCAGATCAATGGTCCTGACATACTTCATATAGGGGTGTACACATTTCCTTTTATCATTGAAGATTGATTGAACATTAAATCAACATCAATGTGAACATGTACATTTAAAAGCATCCTTTGCACTTTCTTTCTATACCTCTGATCTGCCGTCCTATCAACATGCCCTCATCCTCAGCTGGGGGGAATGTGGACATTTAAGTTATTATAAGATCATTTCCTGTAAATTCCACCTTGAGGAACTAAGTGTTCTTTTGCTAATAAGTGTGACACACAATGGGACTCGAGGCCTCCAAGTATTATTTACATTATATTACGTTTCAGTCAGATGCAAGAATAAGGACAGAAACTTTGTCTTACATGTTAAGTATGTATGGGAAGTGTTCCAACAACATGTGTGTTTGTGGGGAGTTTTATATTTCATATTTGATAACGTGACATGTATGCACTTACAAACATTCACAATAGTTATCTGACCTATTTGCATGTCCACTCTTGCACTTGTGCCAGTGAGCATGCTTGAGGTCATTACAAATCAACTGTAAAAGAAACACTGCCAAATGCCATGCAGGGAAAAGAAAGGCAGTTTTGAAGAATCAAATGTTTTGGGTCTACGATTTAAAAACTTTTGATAGACTTTTAATGAAGCCAAATTGAATAGTTTCCCACAAAGGAAGTTAGTTTAGTTTCTTCGTCCGGTACAGCAATCATTTAAGCAATCTCTAACCCAGTGTTACACTACAACATTGAAGATGATAAGCACCCCATCATTCACCTTAAATAGCTTGCAGCCAAATGTTGTCAGCCCAATATACACAGATAAGGTTGTTTACTCTAATCACCCCGGCTCCAGAAAAGATGTTCTTATTATTCTGCATTTTTTTTTTTTTGATTGCAGAAGTTTTGTCCCTGAGTCATGGCGGACAGGAGAGCGGAGAAGTCATGTGAAGAAGCAAGCAGATCGTTAGCAAGGCGGGAGTACGAGGCGGCAGTCAGCCACAGCACGGACGCCCTGGTGGTCCTTGCACCCCAAGCACCACCTTCGGGTGCCCCTGTCCCACAGAGCCCTACATCGCTAGTGGCTGCCACCGGACCCCTGCGCAGCCGGGCCCTGCTCTTCCGAATTGCTGCCTTCTTGCAGCTGGTAAGAACAGTGGCTTCCAATACATGGTGTTGTCTTAAGTGATCACCGTTTTCCTTCCTCCTATGTAGTTTTGTGGTACTGAAATACCTTTTTTTTAATTTGCTGTCGCACCAGTCAACCACATTTATGTTGGGGGATGGGGAACCCTGTTCTTGGAGAATTCAAAAACATCCCAATTTTTAGACGGTACCTTCCATTTCAGCGAAATAATAACATTTTCTCCTTTCCCTAAAATTGAGTCATCACACTCTAATGGCAGTGTACTTCTAATGACTTTGTACAATATCATCAAGAGAAAGAAATGAGAACAATAAACCATACTTTGTTCCTCCATGAGACTGTTATGTTATCTTCCCTAGCACTAACATTACACCAGTTACTTAAGCCCTAAGATTATGGAAACTACTTAAGTCTATAATGATAGTGTGAGGGACTCCGCTGTGAGGCAAAGATAGCCATTCTTGGAGCTTATGTGAAGCTCTGACCCTGCATCACAATATTCCCATTTGTTATGGTAACCACTTTCTTAAACCTTTATTTCTCCTTCTGCCAACAGAAAAATTATGATGAAGCAGATGAAGACTGCAAACATGGTAAGTGGCAATTCAGATTGGAACCATCTGCTGATACTGTACAGTAAAAATGTTTATACCTAGTGGCAGACAAAGTGTGTGTATATCTTACAGTGGGAAGCCTCTAACATGCATTAGTGTCAGCGTAGCAGGAAACATCTTACATTTGGACTTATTTCTTTGCAGAATCTAAGCTGTTAATAGGTTAATGTAATTGCTTAATTACTTCAATGTTTCAGAGAACAGACCTAAGCTAATGTACTGAATTAACTGTCCCTACCTGTTCCCTGTGTATTCTTCCTCCTGTCATAGTTCTGGCAGAAGAGGTGGCCAGAGGAGACGGTTCGCTACAGGCCAGCTTGCGCTCCATGCTGTTGGATGGCAGCCTGCAGGATGTTGCCAGCATCCTCTCCAAAGCCTTGTATGGAGAGCCAATGGTATGATTGATGGACAATGTACACAATATGTGCATACAGTCGGTCTACACATTGACTGTAATTAGAATGGACTACCAAATTCACATAAAGCTAAAATATTATGCCTGTTGAGGTCATACATTCCTCACCCTTCTGGAGGACAGATCTGGATAATGCTTCCTTAAAGCATTTAATAAGGTTGTGGGGGAATGTCATTAATTACATTTTTTTTGACAGAAAATAGTCTCCAATTGAGTGCTGCAGTGGTGACGTGTCTTTTCAGGCCGACCCGGAAGTAAGCTGCGCAAGGTTTCCCCTGACAAAAAAGCAATGGGATTTCTCCATAGGATTTTGGAATATTGTAAAGAATAAGATCTGTGGAAAACAAACCCGTTTGATAAATGCACGTTTTGTTCAGCCGGATAATCGCCACGTCTACCCTACTTTTATAATTTTCTAATCATAAATCTAATCGCCAGAAGCAAAATGCTAACGTCATGCTACAGTCGAGTACAGCAGGGTTGCAAGACTTCAACGTCACGCCAACTAAGATATTCAAAAATACAGATTCAAAATTGTACGAAGTTGAAGCATTTGTTTTAACAGTTTGCAAGAGCGCAGGTACTTGCTTTCAAGCAGAACAGGGGCAAACAAACTTAGCGGGAGTGTTTACGTGTACGGCGTAATGATGTACAACGTCCTTGACAACTTCTGTAGTCCTATTCAGCCACTTGTTAACAACCATCGTTTTTCAGACAGTTTAACTCTTCAAAATCACCAGTGGGGTCACTGCTGATGTATTTAATGTCGTAGAACAAAACGTAATTTATCTGTTAAATTTGTGTCAACCACAGACCTTATTTCCAGCTATTTTCCAAAAAGTAGTTAAAAAAAACCCATTGACTCTGAGACGAGGGAAGTGGTCAAATGCTAACTCACTTCCGGGTTTTAGGACTCGTTCCTGCACCACTCTATAGGGCCTATTTTCCTTATTGACTGACCCTACTCTAAATGAGCGCCTGTCTCACCTCCTCAATTAAAGATCCCAGCAGAGCTTATCTGGTCCTGTTTTTAATTAGGTACATGTATTTTCTATACATGTACCTGATTTGAGTCATCTGATACATTTTAGAACAAGCAAAAATAGAAAGCTATGGACATTTAAATGAAAGGGTCACTCATTGATTGAATTAGACCTAGGAAAAACTGTTGGCAGGTGCCTGCATCCTAAGTGCTGTGTATCAAATGACAACACACTTGTGTGACACATAGCACAGCTAAACTCTACAGCAGGGGTGGGGAACCTTTTTCCTCTCAAGGGCCTTTTCAATTTTTTCAACATCCTCCGAGGGCCGTACAAATTATTGACCTCTGCTTAAAAATACTAAAATCACAGCCCATTCATTTCGCCTTTCTTTCAGGCTGTGCAAAGAAACAGCAACCTCTTAATCCAGATATCTCACAATGACTCGGTTTGGCATGACCACCAAAACAGAAAGATATGGACACAATATGTGTGCAAATGTATTTAGTTTCCTTTCCATGTGGACATGATTTAAGTGGGGGGGGGACCTAACCTCCTCTAGGGGGGTCCTGGGGGCATGCTCTTCCAGGAAGATATATATATATTTTTAAATGTTGAAGTTAAAAGCATCAATCTGGTGCACTTTGAGAGCAACATTAGGAGATCTATGGATACATCTCTCAACATCCATTATGAAACAGAACTCTAACCAGATTTACTTTTTCTTTATGGATATTTTACAAATCACTCCCTTTTCAAACTGTATTCTTGTTTATTAATAAGAACTTTTTTTTACTGTCATATAGTATTTTATACCCGTTTGCTTTATTCTCTTATTTTTTTATAACTATAATGATCATATAAAGATGTGCCTTTACCTCACTGGTTGTAGAAAAAGCTTCTTATATTTGTTAGCATAGCTAGCTAACCAGATGCTAATAACAACAAAGTTATTGACTGTATGATCAGTATGACAGATGAAAAGATCGCCACATATACCACGTGATGACACGTTAGGCTCGTGTTGTGTTCAAGGACACTGACCGTGGCCAGTAAAAACAGGCACTCGCTTGTTTAATTCTTTTGCGGTCTAGATTTATTAAATTTTTTTCTTTTTTTGTTTGTGTTTATAAATTACCTCGAGGGCCGTACCAAATGGTCTCGTGGTCCGTATATGGCCCGGAGGTCCCCCACCCCTGCTCTACACTGTGTAGTTCCAATTTACCACATTAATATACAAAAATAAAAGCAGGATTAGTTGAGGGAAGACCAAGACAGTGTTATATATAGTCTGATGTGTTAAAAGTGGAAGTAAAAAGAGGGGTGCTATCACATGAGAAAACAGGCCCAAACTATGTCAGGAAAATGTTTGTTTTTGAGGGAGAGAGAGACAGGATTGTCCATGGAGAATGTTGGAGGACCTTGTGGCCAAGCTCAACCTGTGTGTGTGTGTGTGTGTGTGTGTGTGTGTGTGCGTGGCAGTGGGCAGGAAGTGGTTGAAAACAGGAGCAGAGTGGAGCTGAGGGAGGCACCTTGGCAGCAAAATACATGTTGATTTATAAAGACATTGGCTAGGTTTAGCAAAGAGAGGAGAAGTCAGCTAGGAGAAAATGGGGAAACAAGAAAGTCACCCTGTTAAATCCACAAAGTAACACTTTCATAAGTGAATAACACCTCACTTTATTTTAGAAATTAGTTTTCAAATATCTTTAGTAGGCCTCATAGTCATCCAACAGTAGTTTGAAACCTTATCAATACTAACTTACTCAGCTCTGATACATAAACTATTTGGATTAGCCTGAAAACTGTTTGTTATTTATTTTTTCTAAAAGGTCTTCTATGTTTTTTTATTTATTTTAATTGTTTATTTGGCAGGGACATTGCACATTAATGAACACTTAAAACAATAAATGTGTCAAGCGCAAATATGACGGATTTAGCTTTGAGCTACTTTCCATCGCAGTCCCTCACATAAAACATTTAAGAGAATGACATTTACAAACATAGCTAAATGTGTTGCCTTATCATCATGTTCTTCAACATTCAAAATTAAAAACTATCTGAACACCAAAAAAAGTACATAAACATCTTCATTATTGCCTTCTTTTTTTTTTTAAATAAAGTCTTAATGAAAAATCCACCAATATTAATTGTTGAATGATAAAGTCCTTAGTAAGCACCTATGTGTGCTATATGCACTTCATCTAGATATTGCACTTTTTTTTCTTTTCACACTTGTATAATCCAGTTTCTAAATGAATGGGTGGTGATGGATTTACATCTTGCCTGTAGATACTTGAAAAGGACAATATAAATGTGATTACACCAAACAACCTTTGCCAGTTTATACAAAGTCATTTGTTTTATAGTGATCATAGCATTTATTTATAAAATAAAGTATGTTATAATGAAAATGCTTTTCTCCTTTCTCAAACAGAATGGCATTGTTGCAAAAGACCTTTCCAGATTAAAAATGCTCTTCTCAGAAGTAGAGGTAAGTGTCTTCATCTGGTTGCAAGCTGCCTTACTGTTGTGCTGTCTTTTAACAGGTGATGTACAACTAATAATAATATTTTTTCTGTCCCAACCTCCACCCACTCTGCCCAATCGTTGTCCTTGTCAGTCTATAAACGGGGAGATGGCACCAGAATACACAGGGGACCAGGAGGAAGGTGAGCAAATAAGTAGCATGGGTCATTTTCAATACTTCCCGAAACTGACAATATACCTGGTACCAAAGACACCAAAGACTTCGAACAGAAGATGATTTATGTTTAGAAAGTCTTAAATAAGCCAGTTGGCAGATTTGCAACTGACTCTTAACGGGTTACAAGCTGGCTGATAGTCAGTTTACAAAGTTTTTAAATGTTTTTCTTGGCTTAGTGTTATATTGACCACTTGGCTTTGTGTTTTCACAGAGGTCCAAGAAGGCTGGCAATTCCGACCTCCTCCCCGAGGAGTCACCAGCAGTGAGGAGTACACACTCTGTAAAAGGTAATGCAAACTGGCTTGTTATTTACAGTATATGTTGTATATTAAAACAATGTAAAATGCTGGCCAAAAAATTGCTGTTTTTGTTTAATATAAAAAAAGTCAACTTTAATGTCAAGCTTTCAGTTTGTGTGTACAGACAGAGATCCAAATGACGTTTCCAACAATCCCGAATACAAAAATACAATTATACAATATACAGATATGTAAATCCTATATACATAATCAACAGACACATTTACACATCTGCACACATTAAGATAAAAAACACAATAATCAACATACAAAATAACAGTCACTTCAATGTCAAAATCTTTGGGAATTAGTGCAAGATGATAATGAAAGATGAAATGTAGCAAATCCTCATATTTCTGGGAAACATTTCACTTCACAAACATGTTTTCAGGTATCTTTTGTGTTTTCATGACGTAACACAATTAGTTGTAATTCTCAGAGATGTGTTTTTTTAGTTGATTGACTACTTGTCAGCAGCAGTTGAACACTCACTTTGTCTTTGCTGTAGGTACTTGGAGCAGGGTCTTTGTCGGTACGGGGCCCAGTGTACGTCAGCCCACTCTCAGGAGGAGCTGATGGAGTGGCAGAAGCGTTATGCGTCACGCCTCATCCGCCTCAAACAGCATCAGGAGAGCAAACACTTCACAGAGAACTACATGGAGAACCTGATAGAGAAGTGGATGAATTCCCTCAGCCCAGAGAAAGTGGTGAGTGCATGCGAGATCAAAAAAAGCTCAACGGATAGAAAACAAGAAAATACGATGCAAATCCATGAGTTCACTTCCTTATAAGCCCCCCTAACACAAACATGTGTCGTGTAGTGATTTTGTTAGAAGCCTCACCTTTGTAAGTCTAATGGGGTAGTTGTGCTTCGATGTTAAGATTAAATATATATATATATTTTTTTTTCCTGTTTGCATATTATTATTTTATAACTTAAGAATTTGAGTATCCCATATTTGCACAGCAATAATAAACTATGTTAACCCCTGTCCGGGCAGTCTTTTGTATCCGAACCAGACAAGCTAACATAGTTATTATTTTCCTAAGCTGTGATTATTGAAGGAGGCCCATTCATAAACATTTATAGAACTAACCACCCCTACACCTTGATCTTTGAGGAATACAGTATGTGATATGTGCATGTCGAGCAGTGAACTTAATTGTAACCACTTGTCTTTTCTTCCTAGCTAAGTGACTATTTAGATGGAGTGGCAGTAGAAACCAGCTCCAGCCTCTCTGTTACTGTTGCCGCCAAAAAATCTGCCCACTCCTGGACCTTCTCGTTCTTGTGCAAGGTACGATGATATGTTTAACACCAACTATGTACAGATCCAAGTGTTTAACCAGGTCATTTATCAGTACAACACTGAACACAAGGCAACATGCCAGTGCTAGCTGTTGGTCCTAAGCATCTTTTGTTTGTTTGTCTTTTTTATCTCCGTCTCCTTGACTAGCCGGCTAGAAAGCTGTTCCGCATCGCCCTGCTCTACGATGCCCACCGGCCGCACTTCTTCATCACAGGGGTCTCATCTGAGGAGCGGCTGCAGACCCTCCCCAAAGGCTGCCAAGAGTGGACCCCAGGAGAGGAAACAGCAGGTATGCACTGGCTTATTAACGTTACAGTGACAGTCTTTTTTGTGTTTGTTTGCAACGCAATTTTAAAAGTATTTACACTAAACCATTCTGTTGTTACAGTGGCGCCAGACAATGGCCTGGACCATTGTATCTACAAGGTAACGGTGGGCTTCAGCACAGAAATCTTCGGTACCTTCCGACAGACCGCTGTTTTTGACTTTGGCTCAGAACCTGTGCTGATGAAGCGAATCATGGTGGATGCTGCCTCGATTGAAGGTAAGCTAAAGGCAATAAGGTCATGGCGAGTCATTAGCAAGCTTTCCTGATTTATATCAAATTAATTAAAGTACTTTTTAATAAAATGGTATCTATTCAGACAACAGTTCTTTATATTGGTGTCAAATTGTAGATAGTTTTCTAATCACGTTTGAATAGGTATTTCAATTGGTTAAAACAAGCTGCTACAGTAATCAAATCTGTCAATAACCTTCTAGTCCTTTCAGTGTGTTAATTTGTACCAAAACATCTAAATATCCATTTTGTTTTCAGACCTGGAACATCTGCAGGCAGCCAGGCAGCAGCTCTTGACCACTACGAAGCGCTGGGACCCCTCCTGTAAGACCATCGTAGAATTTGTTCCTAATGAGACGATGGCAGACCTGGAGCGCAGCCTCCTCTCCAGATATCAGATCCCTCTATCGGCCGACCAGCTCTTCACCCAGTCAGTCCTGGACAAGACTCTGACCAAAGAGAACTACCAGGCCCGGCTGCATGACTTGCTCTACATTGAAGAGATTGCACAGTATAAGGAAGTTAGCAAGTGAGTATACACGTTTCTATGGTTTCCTACAGGGATAGTCAAATGGGTTTTTCACAAGAGTACATCATAAATCTGAATAATATTTCATATCTCGGGAATAAATAATAAAACCCGCAAAACAAATTGATGTTGAATTCCTTACGCAGTGGAAGCAAGGTCATTAAAATGATTATGAATTTACTGTAAACTGCTTTAATAAGATGATAACAGTGTAAGTTCAGTTTGAGCCTGCTTGGTGATATAAATGTTATCCAGTAGGTAATCATACCAGATCGTCATTCTCCACTGATGAAAGCAACTCTAAGACTTTTCATTTCCGTGACAGTCTGTTATATATGTGTATGTAATTTGTATCTTGTAAACGATTTAAAATGAACAAAACCAAAGCTTGTTTATAGTCCCTAGAACATGAAGAATCATTTATTGGTTAACCACCAATACATTGAGTTTCTTTTTATGTTATGTGAACCCACCACAAGATGTCAGACTCAACCTTTCTTGTGAATTGTGTGCATTTTAGAGAGAGAGAGGGAGAGAGAGAGAGAGCGTATGTAACTCACACACAGCTGGACTCAAAGTGTCAGTTTCATTTAATAACGCTTATCTAAGGTTATTCCTTTGTGTGGAAAATAGTGTTTTTTTCCCTCTAGAGTAGACGATTGTTATTCCATACCTGCCGCTCCACTGGTTTATGCGAGCACAGTGGACCCTCCCCCACCACTTCAAATGTCTCAGCTTTCTTTTTTGTTCACAGTTTGATGTTTTACTCATGACTTATGGCGTCATTTGGCTTTTTAAGGAGTAACACTCACCTGCAGTGTAAAATGTTATTTCAATCCAATTAATTTCCTGTGTGCATATGAATAATCTCACTGCCTACTAATACATCCGTGTCCCGGTTGGCTCTAAGGCTTCTCACGGCTGATTGAGTTTCAGCAGGAGATCTCAGGGTTAGGAGTGGATTCCTTTCATTGGAGTACTACGGTTGTTTGAATGCAACATATGACTTAAAATAAACCCCAATTAGAATATCTCTCTGAATAATCTCACACTAGATTGATTTCCTGCTCAATGCGTCATGGTCATGAAGCATCACTTGATTATCTAAAGTGGTCCTCCATTACTCACCCCATGTTCAACATGTCTTGCTGTTTTCCTGTTTCCTGCTGTAGAGATAGTATAGCCAGAACGCTGATGTAAAACCATAGCAAAAAACCTCAAGAGTCCAGTACAGAATATGTTCACTCATCTGTCAATCATCCATCACAGTTTATCACCAATATTGCTTTTCTATCTCATCACTTCATTTCACAGCAGATAGGCAATGTAATACAAGCTTGAACTGAAAGAACCAAAACGTGCTTGGACATACTTTCTGCTACTGGTTGACTTGACATACGAAAAATAATTTGTCTGTCCTTTAAGGTTCCTCGCTGATTTTATTTTTAAGCCTTTTACACATTTAAAGAAAATATGTTTGTTTGGATTTTTTACTTTTAGCTTTGCTTTACAATGGCAAATGCACAAACCTGCAAATACGTTAGGCCCAGCTACAAAGTGGTCATCTCTCTGCTCAACAATACAATACAGCTGATGTTTAATGTGTGTGATGATAATATCAGTAAATGGTCTGCAGGTCCTTAAGGGGTCTCTGTGTTGAGTCAACACTCCGAAAATACACACATGCCTGAGGCTTGCATACATGATTCATTACAAAGGTGATAGGATCACGATCTGTTTATCATATCTTTTTAATGGCTGTGTCTAGGGTTGTTGTGTGGTATACACATACTAAACTGTTAAAGAACAAAAGGGAGACTAAAACCATTTAACTGTTACTTATTAGTCATTGCTAATCACCTTGACAACGCCTACTTAGTTAAAGGCACTGCTTGATGCACTGACTATTATTTAATAAGTCTAGACCAGCTTCTCTTTAAGAGAATAAAGATCATGCCTGCAGTGCAGTGTGAATATTTAAATGTACAATTATGTGTATGTGGCATAAGGCTGAACTTCTACAGGGTTAGAAGGTCCATTAAAGGAAGGATATACATTTGCCTCTGTCACAGGAGAACATGTGATACTGGGACTAGTATGTAAATAACATACCACAGAACATTAATCTGATTGCTATAATGTTTACTTTGATGTATTAACTAAAGCTAAACGTCTACAACGTCATAACCAAATATCCATGTGTGTCCCTCCAGGTTTAACATCAAGGTGAATCTCCAGCTAGTCACCAGCTTCATGCTGACGGGCATCTCTGTTGGAGCCAAGTATGCCCAGAATGGACAGCTCTTTGCACGCTTCAAACTCACTGAAACACTCTCTGAGGTAACTGAACTGGTTAAAGAGCATCTTGCAGGTTTTTTTTTTTTCTACATTTATGCTTAACCTTGCATGAAAATTACAATTTAAAAAAGTGAATCTAGGATTTGATATGTTTTACGAGACATAAGGGCAGGAATTCAGAGGGAAAGGAGCAATTTTGAGCTCTGCTCTTAAATACGGCTTTTTTTTAAGGTCATACGTCAAACGCGTCATATTACATCACACAGGGGACACATCTCCGCTCTCTGACCGCGGGTATAGTAGAGTTGCGTTGAGTTGAGCGGTTGTGTTTTAGTGAGCTGGTATTTTTCGGTAGTTTTACATTGTATTTCACCATTTGTAATCATGGTGCAGTATTGTGTTTGTGCAGGTTGCACAAATACCAGCCTGTCAGGACATTGAGTCCACAGTAAAAAGGACCGGAGCTAGCGTTCGTTCCTGGGTGCGTTGTGCATCCACCTCCCTGCAGCACATACGTTTTCCTAATAAAGCTGTCACTGTAGTGTATATTTCTGTATATTTGTTTGAAAATCTAGTGTATTCATCATTTTCCTACACATTTATTCACAGGTGTCTTTAACCTGGAAGTTGCTCTTTAAGTTGTCCATTGTTATTATCAACACGGTTTTCTGTTTGATCACGTTTAATTACTTAAAAGACACCTATCATGCTATATTTAAATGATATATTGTAGGGCCATACCTATATAAGGTATATTTATACATTTCTGTTTTCAAAATACCAAACAGATCCTGCATTTTAGCCATGCCTCATTTTGCTCTATTTGCTGTTCTCCAGCTCTGTTTTTGCAGCGGGCTGATTCTATGAGCTGCAGTTGACCACGCCCCCCTGCAGGAGAGGGGAGCGTGCTCTGATCAAGTCAGAAGAGGGGGAGAAAAAGAGATCTCCGTCCTCCGTGTTTTATTATATGATTGTATAGAGTCGTTATTCATTTGTTTTAAAGCTCAATAAATAACAAAGAAGACCTTTGACCGGCACTTTTCTAATTTTGTCCGGAAGATTTAAACTTTAACGGACATCAACTGAAACTCTGCCGCACGGTCCCCTCGTTCCTTGGAAGAGGCAGAGAGGTGGGTGTTTGTCATCTGCTGGTGGACTAACCGGAGAGAATTACAGTGCTTGCCTCGACGGGGAGGGATTGCATTGAATTACAGCAGCGGGAGCAAACACTTGAAGGGCAACCATGGCAACCATGCGCGGGAAGTCTTCTTCGCTGCTTTTGTGGCAGACTACAGCGCCACTTACAGGCCTGGCATATGTACTACAGCGTCTCCAGCGCTTTCGAGCGTCAATGGCCGGCCGTGGCCCAACCTCTCATTCCCCTGATAGGTGGAGAATTGACCAATAGCCGTAGCGCCACTTTACTGACGTCAGTAAAGTGTTCAAATCTGGATCCGTTTTGATCAGATCCGTTGCAGCCCCTTTTTTAGAGATTTGGGTATGGAGGGAAATAGAGAGGGTTGTGTTTTCTGACACTTGATGAGTTCCCTGGAACACCGGGGACACATATTCATGTATAAAAGATGTACAAAAGTCCATTTTGCATGATAGGTCCCCTTTAAAGTAACATTGTCTTTTTTCTCACCTCAGGACACATTGGCTGGACGGCTAGTGATGACCAAGGTGAATTCAGTCCTCGTGCTGCCGTTAGCCCGTGATGGGTACAGCAACCATCCGCCCCCCGGGGTGAAAGAGCGTGTTTACGAGGCTGTGATTGAGGAGAAAACCAAGGACTACATCTTCCTGAGGATCTGCAAGAACTGTGTGGAGGAGCTTGGGCTACTGCCGGACAGAGAATTACAGGTATGGTCTGCAGCAAGGGACAAGCAGGCACACAGAAGTGCTACAGCATGAGGCTGTACTGCTGTCACTGCCATAAGATACATGAGAGTGGGGAACTGACATTAGTGGAAAGGGCAGGCTCATGATGGCTTTCACACATGGCATTTGGTGACTAAGAGATGTTATTGGGCAAGAATCTCGGAATTTCTTGGCCCTCAAAATATTTATGAGATGTAAAGGATCACTTGTTGATCAGCATTTTAAAAAGTGGTTACAGTACTAGTAAGGACTTTTGGGGGGAAAACCTGTCTGTTGTCCTGTCTGTCAGTGTGCGCTTTGATGGCAAATCTCATGTCAGGATCCCATTTTATTAGAAATCTCCACCCGTATTGAGTGACTATCTTCAGCAGCATCATCTTGATCTACTTCCCCCTCCAGCCGGAACATTGGCAGACGTGTTAATAGTCATCATAACTATCCTCCCCCTGTCTCTGTGGGAGCATCATCTTCCATGTGATGCTGCTACTACCTTCTTTACGTACTTCAATTTCCTTTCCCCATCTCCTCTATGGGCTCTTAATATATTTTCACATAGCCTTGATGTTTTATGCTCCTCTTGCATATATCACACTTTCCTGTTCTTGTGTTCTTGAAAGTATTTCTCCTTCTTGCTTTCTTGCTCCTCCCCACTCTCCTCCTGTTTTCACGCTTTTTATCGCTAGTTTGTTTTTCCTTCTCAACTTCTGATTTTTACACTCGTATCCTTAAGGCATTGCATCATTCAAAGTATACCTGTTAGTAATACGTCTCTGTTTGTATGAAAAAGAGGCCCTTTATCAGTAGCAGTAAAAAAACATCTTAGTGGTTACATCAAACTAGTGTAAGCCAAGGAGTTGAGTATAAATGTAAATGGACCACGGCTTCCCGAGAAAACAAGGTTAAAAGATATCGAAAGGTGGATATACACGTAGGCCTTTTTATTCATGTCTACACAGTGACATGTTGTATGGGTGGGATCACTCGAGGTCTAGAGAAATGTATTTGAACAGAAAAAGTGATAAACCTAATGATTATTGAACTCCAGAAGACACTATTGTGGTCTTGATTGTTTGGTTAAAAAAAATATCTAACTTGAGCCCTCATGCTTAATAGTAACCAAATATTATTTATAGTTATATTGCACATATTACTTGTGTTGTTTTTAAATGAATATGGGTTCTTTATGAATCATTAAAGAGGCTGAGTTAAAGGTGGGGTAGGTAAGTTTGAGAAACCGGCTCGAGATACACTTTTTGTTATATTCCATGGCGTGCTCTTAACATCCCGATAGCAATGAATATCTGAAGTGCTTTGACAAAAAATCCATACAAAAAAATGTCATCTGTGGAAGCTGTAGTACTGTAAAAAGCACGACCAATCATTTTAGCCGGCCCGGCTAAAATAACTGGATGGCCTACCTGCCTGTCAGCCTTCCATCTGTGCACAAACTTTTCTCATGCCCTCATTGGTCATGTGCACGTTCGTGTGTGTTGGAGGAGGGGCTCTGTAAGGAAGTGGCAGATTTTTTTCGGCTGTGTATTTTCAAATTCTAGCCACTCGAGCTGGTTTCTCAAGCTTACCTACCCCACCTTTAAACCAAACATTAATATATTTTATCCAAAATCATACAGCACAAAAAAAGGCTTTGATTGAATTGCTTATAGAATGGTATCCTTGTCCTGTCGATGGATATAGGTTGAATGCTTGTTTTACATTGCTTGCTTAATAAACTGTCTGTCTTGTCTTTGTGTCAGGTGGAGCTCCAGTTCCAGCTGAACAGACTGCCGCTCTGTGAGATGCAATATGCCCTGGATCGCATCAAAGATAACGGCATCCTCTTCCCTGACATCGCCCTTAACCCCACCATCCCCTGGAGCCCCAACAGGTGTGTGTTCACCATCTGCACAACCAGGCATTTCACTGCTGATCAAAAACTATTTTAATCCAAGGCAACCATTGATATTTTATTCTGATTATCGTTGCTACCTCCTGCGTGCCTTCATTTATTCATTTAATAAGAAATCTGGGAAAAATCTCACATACAAATGAATGAAGGCACAATCAAATGTTAATTTACACACATGACAGACTGTCTATGTGGCATTGAAGATGACATTTGTATTCATATTGGATTAAAGTTCTAGATTTTACATTATTTCAAACCCGAGGGAAGATCTTTACAGCGTTCACACCCATTCGCTTGTAGGAAATACTGCTAATCCTAAAGTGCTATTTCAGAGGACTTCCTTTAATACCTGCAAATCACTTTAGCTCGACAAAATGCCCTGACAGAGAGGACACCACATTCATTTGAGAGTGGACTGAACATCCCTTGTTTTTCTACAGAATATGATTGAACTGGACTTTAGTTTGAGTTGGAATTTGGATCAATCATTTGTTTCATATAATGTTTGCCCAGGTGTTCATTTTCCTGAATTTGAGTTTTTAAAGTTTCTTTATGGTGGTTATTCATTCACTGCGCTAGTCTGTAAATACAAATAAAATGTTTGTTGTTTTTGTTAATTATAGTAATGTCTCAAGTTTTCTAACATGTGAACAAGACAAGAGATAGTTGAATAAGTTGAGCTATGACACCAATGTGCTGCCTTCCTTTCGCATTTGTGAAAGAAGTAAAGTAGGCATATTGTAATAGAACCCCATTAAGTTCATCCATCCACCTCTGTTATAAACTCACACACACAATCCGATATCTCTAAGCCCCCCAGCTATGTTGCAGTTGGAGCTCCATCAGTTGGTGTTGGTGGATTCACAGCTTTAGAGGATGCAGTCTTCATAATGAGGACAGTAATGCGAGAAGCTACACGCTACAGTCTATCACATGTGTGCATCTCTCTCTTCTACCCATGTATGTATAGTGAAGATGACTGAAGACACATACACCCACGTTGGTGAACAAGTGTTTCTCCTTTCTGTGTTTCTGGATGTTACCCATGCCTTTTGCACATTCATGAGGAAATGCGTTGGCACACTGTCTGTGGTTTCCCCACCATGGCTGTTTGGTAATTAAAAACGTGGGTGCTCGTTACATGTAAATAAATACATTTGATTCCTTACTTCAACAGCAAATACACACTCGCAAGACTTGAGTTGTTGTCCTGACCTATGTGCATGTCATATTTAATAGTGCTAATGTGAAACCTACAATGAAGTCAACTGTGTAATACAATGAAAGAACATTCACTATGGAATTCTAGCTAATAAAGTATCCAACAGGCAGTAAGGGCTGCCATCGTTACACACAGTTTGTCCATCATCTGACATGTGTACATGTATTTGTGCTTATGTTTATCTATTTATTAGTTTCTCACTTGTTGATGCAATGCAAAATGCATAAGCTAAGGGACTGAGTAGTTTGACCTTTGTTCAACCTCCTCCATTCCTTACCCACTTAACACTCCTTTTGATCCTGCTCTCTTTTATTATCTCCTATTTTCTTTCTTGTACTATTTCCCCCTAAAGCTTTTCCCCCCAGTCTATTCCCACCCACCTACATTAATCCCAAACACCCCTCCCACCACCCCCTTCTCTTGCAACTTCTTAAGTTTTGATTTTGAGTGTGTGCAATATTTCCTATCTTTTTGGGCAGTATCTTTTCTTTCTCAGTTATCTCTGTCCCACTGAGGTTAATTAGGTGACAGAAGGTCTCATTGTGTTCAAAGCTATATATGTTTGATATGTCTTTTTATAAAGCAATATTTTATGTAAATGAACAAAAACGGCTACTTTTCGTATTTTGATTCCTCAAATAATTTCCTCATTCTCCCTTTGCCCTTTAGGCAGTGGGACGAGCAGCTGGACCCCCGTCTGAATGCCAAGCAGAAAGAGGCCATCCTGGCCATCACCACACCGTGCTCCATTCAACTGCCCCCCATCCTCATCATCGGGCCCTACGGCACCGGCAAGACCTTCACCCTGGCCCAGGCTGTCAAGCACATCCTCCGCCAGGACGATAGCAGGTCTGTTCACAGGCTTTCTTGTTTTACATTTTAATCTCTGTTGCTTTTTTCTTTTTCCCCCCATTTGTTATTAGGAAATGTGCACCTTGTTAACAATCGATTACCTTCCAATACTACTGTAGACCCCTGTTCTCTCTATTTCATCCTTTAGTATTGAATAATGTGCTTTCTTAATCAAACCCAAGAACATTTATAGATAAATACTTTATATCACCCTACCTTGCTTCTCATCATCCAAAAAGTCTTTGTCCCAAAGAAGGCTTCACAAATTGTGGGTTTCTATGAAAATCAAGGTTTTCTTATATTTTGTATCTGAAAGCAAATAACTTTTATACTTACACCACTTTATGACTTGGTTTTTTATTATTATATATTTTTTTCTCTCTGTAGGTCAGCACGAATAGCTCAAAGGTTTCTGGTGTTAAGCAGACAGTCATTTAGAGTGTCTTCACATGTTGAAGGGCTTTCAGCTTTAGTGTTAGGAAACTCAGTACCTGTGAAGAAAATGTTCAGTCTTTGATATTGATCAACAAACATCACCTTTCTCTCAGATTTATATTTGCTATACGCAATCAACATTTTCCCATGAGCTCATTAATATACTCTCACTACAAGTATGTCTAAAACAATCATACAATAAATCCTAGTGTCTTGAAGATGATATCATATTATCTCACACCTCATAGTAAAATAAAGCACAATTCATTAGTGTTACAACCTTGCATGTTTTAAACATTGCTGATTTTATGTTATTAAACTACCTTTTAGCCATCTTGGCATTTAATCGGCAACCTGGAGGTCTCATGCCTCAATCTTTGAACTTCCACACTCTCTGTGGAATAATAGATGCTACAATGTGATGGAGTATTTTGAGGGAAGGAGAAGGTCATGTAGATGTGTGCATACATTTGGCATCATTCAGAGTTTCTTTAGAGGTCAGGGGAGGTCAGTCCGAGGGCGTGATCAATATTGCAGATTGTGCATCGGTTTCAGATTTAGCTCCAGGGCAACAGCATCCTTGGGTTTGACATTAAAAATCAAGGTGTGTGTGTGTGTGTGTGTGTGTGTGTGTGTGTGTGTGTGTGTGTGTGTGTGTGTGTGTGTGTGTGTGTGTGTGTGTGTGTGTGTGTGTGTGTGTGTGTGTGTGTGTGTGTGTGTGTGTGTGTGTGTGTGTGTGTGTGTGTGTGTGTGTGATGCTGTCTGGGTGTGTAGGAGTGCATGTGTCATCCCTGGAGGACAATGAGTGCTGGTCATTTGGATGAATTTGTGTCATTTGTGGTGGATGCCCATGGTTAGTTTGATAATCAACGCAGTTCCTGGGCCGGAATGTATTCCCATTTAAACCATAATCTGATCAATCAAGTTCTGTTCTGAGGTAGCTAATCAGCTAACGGGCACCACCTGCTTGCACACACACACACACACACACACACACACACACAGGAGGAGGGAAAAATGCACACACAAATGACCTAACGACCCAGGGTCGTAACAGTGTGGCTTGATATTGAGTAAGAGCATTTTTCCGCGATCCCAACTTAGCAGCCCGAAAAACGTTTAGCCATTTAAACAGTAGATACCTTGTTTGTTTTAAACATCATAAATACACAAACAACAATGAATACTTACAGGTTGTGTACCCGAATCTCCTGCTGGTCCAAACAAAGTAGGAACAGCATCGTTCTTCAGTGCCCTACGCTGTACATATCCGGCATGAATCGCTGAAAGGTTTGTGAAGTTTGTGAAAGGCTAGCAGAGGGTGCGGCCATAGCTCTGGGCGTGGCTACTGGGTATCCCTACGTAGCGATACCCAGGAAGAACGAGGCGTTTTGGGGAGGTCTTTTCTGTGTTAGTTTTACTCCCTACCAGTTGCGGCTCCAGAGTATTTTTGTTGGGTAATCTATGGTAGGGCTAATCCACACAGTGGTGGGGCTCAAGTCAGTATTTGCAATGTAATTACATACACGCTCCCCTTGACAGTGAAACGCCACGCGTGAGGTTTAGATTATTTCCCTGTCTCAATCCAAATTGAACTGTATGAAATAAAAAGGGCGACCTGGAGCCAATCCTGCAATTTCCCCACAGGTGAAAGAGTTGAAAACCCAACCCCTGCAGGGGTCTCTGGGGGATGGTCCCCCAGGAGATTTTTTGAAATTTTAACATAAAATACACATTCTGGTACTCTCTTGAGAAGAAAAATAAATAAATCTATTACTACACGACATAT